AAAACAAACGAGAAAGGCAGCCAAGGACTAGCTAGGACTTTACAAACTGTCCAATTTGGCCGGAATGGGGATATCAGGGTTCGGTAGGGGTACTTGGGGGTATAATTCAGATGATTTGGCTACTCCCACATTCTTCATCGTCGTCCTTCATCTCTCTCTAAAGAAAAATTTCTCTAGATTGTTCATTTGGTCAAGATAAGCGGTGTTCACTTCATTCCATGTGGCCTTAGTATTTGCCTTCAACTCTATGTCTCGCTCGCTCTTCATGGCTTCCATAGCAGTTTTTAGCGCCTCGTGATTCGACCTCATGTTATCAAGTTTTCGGGTTGCAGCCTCAAAGTTTTCTTCAACCAATATCTAACCTGACTCCGCTGCCACGACCCTACTATCGGCCTGCGCCAAGTCTTCTTGGAAACGATCCTTTTCAGCCACCATCTACTTTCTTTCCTCGACAATTAATCTTCTCTCTTTTTCAATCTTTCATCTCTCTTTTTCCTGACGATCTTTCTTTCTAGTTAGCCTGACTTTTGCCTCCATGAATTGATTTACCGTCTTTATCATAAAAAATGCTTATCATATCATAATTACAACTACGACTAAAATCAAGAGGAGGCAAGCTGTTATCTTATTTTAACTAAGTTCTGAATCTTATGACCAAGAATTTATTGGTTGGATTGTCCCTTTAAACAATGAATGTCTTTCGGAATACCTCATGCCATAGCTAAGGCAACTCCGGTTTCTAAAAACATAGAATCTCTTGTGTTCAACGACCGATCTCCTATCATCGGCTAAAATACATACTCAATTGGCCCCTCTGTGGCATCCTTCGTCTGCTCTTTACTTGTTCAGATACGTGGGCGACTTGATGATGGCGGTGCTTTCTCTGGTAGATGGTTTACCGATTTGCGTTGGCCATACACGCTAGCCTCTTGATGGGCTCTCTATGCATCCTCCGATTGCTTCATTAGACGATGTCTCTTTGACATTTTTGGTACCGAAGATTATGATGACTTCGTCAGCACAAGAATTGCTTCTGGTTGCCGATCACTTTTCCTTTGTTGGTTCACTACTTTCAATAACAAAGGTAGCAACAACCCTTCCTCTTGAGGCTCTTACGACACCTTCATAACATGGCCGGGGACAGGACTATGCAATAGAGTAATAACTACTCGGGAAAGGAACTGATATATTAACACTTCGGCCCATCAAGAAGTCGTGGCAGTGCACCTCCAAACTGCATATAGAGCTTGCAAACTCACCCTTTACGACTTGTTATGCCGATCCATATATATAGAGCGATGATTTGCAGGCACAAAGAATTTTTTTGATTAGCATTACAAACACAACTGTGAAAGCTTAAACCGTAAGACTCTTCGGGATAATGCTCACTTGCACTCAACACTCGGAGCATAGTAGCAGTACCCTCGGCAAAAAGAGGAGATGAAAATTCCCAACCTCCTGAAACCATAACTACATCTTCTATCTCTACGACATAGGTTCCAAGAAGTAGCCGAATAAGTGACCTATCCCGATCGCGGTGTTCGAGGGATTAATAGAGGCTATAACAGTATTGTAGTTCCTTCAAGCCTAAATCTAGGTTTGGCATGTTGTTTATGGAAAGCATCTTATTCATAATTTTGAAAAAAATTGTATTAAGTAGAAATGGAGAAACTCCATAGTGTGACAAGATCTCGCGAAGATGGGGATATAGAAAACACCTAACCTCGCCATCTACTACAGCCGAAACTAACCAAGGAACCCTATCATCACTAGGAAACAAGAAATTATCAGTTGGGCAAGAAGGTTTTATATTCACATTGTCAAGAATATCACAAGTCGTTTGAAAGTGAGCTATACCCTCTGGGCTACTACTAAGCAAGTAGGCATATTTTCCTATCTCTACACGAATTTATAGAGAGTTGCTCATTCTCTTCCTTCAAACCACTGATCTCCTACGCCGAAGACTTTAGTACAGAGTCTATCGTTTGAAGCTTCTTCTCAGCCTCCGCTACCTCAACCTCCGAAGCAGCTAGCCAAAGTTCCAGCTCCTTCATCCTTTCGTTTTGCCTGTCATTTAAGGTTTTCAGCTTGTTAGTAGCCCTTATTATTTTGTCATGGCACACCATGGCATCACAAGTAGAGTATAGACCTTGTAAAACGAAAAGAAAAGTGTAAGGCTGACAGGAATTCAAAAAACACCTCACAGCAGGGTGATGATAAGCACTTACCACTAAAGAATTAGGAAGCATTTGAACAAGTTGATGCTTTGCCTATCTGGGCTTGAAGTAAAATTTCAACATTTATTTGGTAGTTGGGACAAAATTATAACAATATCTAATCTCGAAAGGCCTAGATTGATCCCTAAGATATTATTCAAAGCAATTACACTTATAACAATTCTAAACAAATTAGGCGAAAGCTGGGAATGAGGCATCCCATAGAAATGAAGCACCTCCTTAAGAAGAGGATGTAGGGGCAATTGAACTCCCTCATCGACTATGTTTATTAGAGGGAGATGAATTCATTCCTCTGATCCCTCTATGGTCAGAAGAAGGAAGACGAACAACAACATCATCAGGAATGTTATACTGAGTTCTAAACTTCGTAATACTTTCCTCGGACTCAAAGAAACCTCTCAGACGATTCATGGTGAAAATAAAGGAAAAACAACAGAAGAACAAGCAAAAAGAAATTCAAAATTGAAAGAAGCCAACGAGAGGAAAAACTTACAAGGATTACAGATTGGGACTTCAGGCGAAGGATAGGAAAGAACATGTATAGGGTTTTGAAAAGACGATGAGCAAAGTGGCGAAAGGCAAGGGACAACCCCTCAATTAATGTGTTAGAAGTGAAACGGCGCATTGAAAGACGAAATGATGGGCATCATCATTAAATTTAAAACCACAAAAAAGACGGGTGTCACTGACAGAGGTAGCGACCCAAATTTCAATTAGGTCGACCACGATGTCTTTGGCAATCCGCTACAGAAGATCGTTGAAGAGAGGCAATTGTGGAGAGATAAAAACATTGACCCAAAGCCCAGAGGTAAAAACATTGGCCCAAAGCCCAAGTCCAGCCAAGCAGTACGAATCAAAAGAAAATCCCAAATCATCGATAGGTCCGTTAGATGAAAGGACAGTGTCACGCTATGAAGCACGGACACGGACACGCGACACGACACGGACACGACACGGACACGCCGACACGCAAATTTTCAAAAAATGGGGGACACGACACGCTGGGGACACGTTCAATATATATAATTAATTTTATTTATTATATGTCATAAAATTATTAAAAAATAATTACAAATTTGTTCCTATAATAAAATTAATAAACACACATTATTATTAAAATTAACAAAACTAATAAAATATATATATATATATATATTACATATTAACAAAACTAATTAATAAATATATATATTTTTTGAAATAAATACTGAAAAAAGATTTATTAACAAAAACTAATTAATAAATATATATATATATATATTCTGAAATAATAGAGGGAAAAAAAATATAAAAAGAAAATAGAAAAAAAAAAAGAGAGAGACCGAAGTCGAAGATGGACGAAGACAAGACAGAGAGAGAGAGAGAGAGAGAGAGGAGACCTCGACAGACACAGAGAGAGAGAGACATCGACTGGCGAAGACCAGAAGAAGAAGGAAGAAGACCGAAGCTGAGGAAGGAAGAAGATGTACCTTACGAGCGAGGAGCGACGGTCGAGGAGCGACGACGAGCGACGAGCAGCGACGAGCGATGACGAGCCCAGGTTCTCTTCTCCTCTGTTTCTTCGCCTTCTCTCTTTCTCTTTTTGATCTCTACTAAGCTGTTAGATCGATTAGGGCTTTTGATCGATTAGGGCTTTTTGATCGATTTAGGGCTTTTTTACAGATTGACCCCAAACAGCCTTCTCTCTTTCTCTTTTTGTTCTCTACTGACCTCTTAGATCGATTAGGGCTTTTGATCGATTTAGGGCAAACAAAATTTTTTTTGCTTTTTTACAGATTGACCCCAAAAATATTTTGTAAATTCTGAAATTGACCCTAAAAATGTTTTGTAAATTCTGAAATTGGCCCCGTGCATGTCCGAGAGTGTCCATAACGTGTCCTGGACGTGTCCGGCTTCAGAAAAAATAAAAAAAAAATTGGACACTCTCTAGTGCGTGTCCGACACGTGTCCACCGCGTGTCCGACGCGTGTCCGTGTCCGACACGTGTCCGACACTGGTACGGAGCCCTCAGAGAGGTGTCCGTGCTTCATAGGTGTCACGTGACCAAAGCTTGAGAAAAATCATTCTCTAGAAGGAGATTTGCAGAATGCAGGGATGCCCTTAAATCTATTCATAATCAATGGCAAGGATCACAATTGTCAGAGATAGGGGCATAGGCCCAACTTACTTAAACGACACAACCATCCGATGAACTTAATCGGATGGATAAAGCAATTGGCAAGTTGGCCACTAACTCCTAATATAATCTAAATCGTACATAGCAAGATGATCCAAAGACAAAGGATCAAAGTAACCTAACCACTTGGCTGACCAAAGTCTAGTAGTAACCACAGCCCTTAGATTAAGATGCTAATCTAATGACTGAGGCCCAAGACAATAACACTATAAACAGAAGAGTAAGGAAAAAGCGAAGGAGAAAACAAAAAAAGAAAAGAAAATCTTTCTTCCTAACTAAATACTATATGGCTGATCATATTTTTGACTTGATCGTCAGAGGGTCCTCCCAACCATCTCTGGTCGGAAGTGATCACTGACGAGTTAGTTTCTCTTTGCAGAGTAAAGGAAAGAGCACCTTATCTTGTTTTTCCTGTGGAGAATTTTCTACCTTCCACACTATAATCATGAAAGATAACATATAAGTAACATCAAACGGACCTATATCTAATTCTAAATATTCATTCACTAGGGATATATTTGTTTTTACCCTGGAAGACATGACAATGAATTTAAATTTTGAAATTTAAAATGATGGTCCAACTATACCCAAGTGCAACAGCATAAGGGGAGCCCAAAACGCTTTAATCTCATACTCTACACCAAGAGAAGTTCCCCTGTAGACATGTCCTAGATCATTGGAAAGTATTCCTGTTGCCATTATTGCTACCGAATCGGCGAGTAAGTAAGCTAACCACACCATAATTCTGATCCAAGTTCCAGAAACGTACTTTCTGCGATTTCCTAAAAGGACTAGAACTATTTGGGTTGTGAGGCTCAACAGAATCATTCCTCGCAGCTCCCATTCCTTCCACATTTTCCTCCAATTTGAAGGAAGCATCGTCATCGCCCGCCTGTTCTGGAGTATTATCATACTGCCAACAACTGTTTGGAAAAAGAGAAAAAGGAAAAGAAAATTCATTATTTTACATTTTAGAACTACTACATGTAATAAACAATTTAATCAGCAGTCAACAAATTCTGGGTACACTGCTTGTTTGGCCTATCTCAGACTTACTGCACTTTTGTATTTCATTTTCTCTGTCTTTAATAAAATTTTCTTTTGCCGATAAAATAAAATAAAAAAGAAAAAAGAAAAAATTCGGTACACCACCAAAAGGGGTGGCCGCATGTTAGAGACTGGGTAGTTTATGATGAATTGGGAAACTAAATTTGAGAAAAATTACCTTCCAAGTTCCATCAAAGTACGTATGAGTTGCATGACTAGTCGAAAACAATGAATTGAAAATTTTCATATATTTAGTTATTTTTATTTTTATTTTTCAGATTGAAACAATAATATCAATCTATTGTAATTATTTTTCTTTTCTGTTTGTGATGATTTGAGAAGTTCAAATTAGGAGATTCATAAGGAGTAGTAAATGATAAATAAATATAGATAAGTGAAATATTTTTTTATGTAAATTTTTATTGAACTTATTGAATGTCCTGAGTATTATCATACTGCCAACAACTGTTTGGAAAAAGAGAAAAAGGAAAAGAAAATTCATTATTTTACATTTTAGAACTACTACATGTAATAAACAATTTAATCAGCAGTCAACAAATTCTGGGTGCACTGCTTGTTTGGCCTATGAGTTGCATGACTAGTCGAAAACAATGAATTGAAAATTTTCATATATTTAGTTATGTTTATTTTTATTTTTCAGATTGAAACAATAATATCAATCTATTGTAATTATTTTTTTTTCTGTTTGTGATGATTTGAGAAGTTCAAATTAGGAGATTCATAAGGAGTAAATGATAAATAAATATAGATAAGTGAAATATTTTTTTATGTAAATTTTTATTGAACTTCTTGAATGTCCTGAGTAAAATTTTTAAATACCACCAATACAAGAAAATACTGCAAATTCGAGGATAAAAAAGGCGATAATAATTCTGCACGTATATGAATCAAACACCATGTTTCTTTCTCAAAGTTAATTAAAGTTACTGAAGTAGTACCTGCATGAAACAGCATCATTGGCAATTCTGCTTTCAGAATAGCTGATATGCAGACCTTCTCTGTGTTCAAAATATATGGGTGCCAAATGAAGGGTACTGAACTGAAGAGGGGAAGAGAGAGGCGACTGAAAATAGTGAAGGGTATCTCATGCAGTCAAGTCAATAAAACACCTGGGAAATGCTATCGTGTGCACTCACATGCCCTCGGTCATAAAATATGTAATCTCTTCACAAATTGACATAATAAAATATTCAAAATTTTATAATTGATATTGTAAAAATTTATTTGATTACGATATTTTTTATTTTGCCAATTTGTGACAAGATTATGCATTGTATGATTGATGTTATAAAATTTTATGATAAAGTTATATATATTTTGTGATACGGGTAAGAGTTTAGAATTTAGGGTTTAAGGTGCATATCATAGGAGAACCTAAAATGGATATTGAAATTGTTTAGTTTTATTTCATGAAAAATTCTAAGCAAACTAATTATGACTTTTTTGATTTTTAATTCTGACCTATTGTGATCTTAATTATAATTTGATTATGATTTTAATTATACACATTGTAGCATTATTTATGATTTATTGCGATATTAATTATGTTGTTATTTTAGTTATGATCTAAGAATTTTTTAATTATAATCTAAGAACTCTTTGATTATACATTATGTAATGTTTAGTTACAACTCTTTTTTATTTTTATTTTTTTTTGTTATGATTCCCATGAGATTGAATTATGACATTTCTAAGAATCAATCTCAAAAATATTATAATTTACATATAATACCCACCTTTTTTAGCATTACCCCCCAAAAAATATATAAAATGAAGTGACATATGCACGTCTTTTTTTATGTTTTTTTTGGGTGAATAACATGGCTTTGTATTTCAACTCAGAATACCTATTAAAGTAATTTACAATTATCACGGGTCATTGTACGACACACCCCTCTTTTTTGGGTGTATCACAACAACAACAACAACAACAACAACAACAACAAAAAAAAAAAAAAAAAAAAAAAAAAAAAAAAAAAAACACTTAAGACATAATTAAAAGAAACAAAATGAGTAATAAACAACACTTGAAATATAATCAAATATATTTTTCATCGTAATTGTAATGTCTTATAATTAAGTCATAATTAATACTAAAATAAGTCGCAACTAAATATTATTTGAGACATTAACTAAAAACCTTTGCAATCATAAATAAAATAACAAATATAATAAATCATAATTAAGTCATAACTAATACTATAATGAGTAATAATCAATAAACATAACAACATGATGAATTATAATAAACATTACAGCCAATTATAATAAAAAATCCCAAAAATCGTAACAAAACATAACATTCATTTTTCAAAATATATGTTATAAAAATTCTCACCCACCACTATTATATTAAAATCAAGCAGCAAGATGGAGTGTCCGGTGAATTGAAGAACTCACTTTTGTATTATATTAAGCGAGCCGGCAAGCAATTAATACAGCACATAAACCTCGTTTTTTTGGGCATCTCAGGGGTAGGTGGCATTGGAACGGCCTGTACTTCTAAGAATTTTACATTGGTGATGTTAGTAAGGGACTTAGCTAAAAAAACAAAAATGATGATAATACAGCACACGATCACGTAATTTTCTTGACCCTATGATAAACTTAACTTTGACTCGTTTGCGACTCGTTCATTACACCATAATCTCTAGTAAATTTAGTCAAAATACCTATTTAAAACTTTATTTTTCTATTTTAATTTGTCATTTTTATACTATGTATTTTAATAACGTTTTGAATAAACTATCAATAGATTTTAATAGTTAAATTTAATTCCCATCAAGTTCTATTGAAAACAAGTCCTAGTAAAATTCTTATTAAAAATAATTTTTTATAACGATTTTTTACATGTCATTAAAAATTGACAATTACAATTAGTAACTTTTTTATCACGATTTTTATAAATTATTGTTAAAATTTACAATTAGTAACATTTTTTTTATGACGAATTTTTCAAACTGTCGCTGAAAGTTAAAAATTAGTGACCTTTTTTCTGACGGTTTTTTTTAACTGTCGCTAAAATTTATAATTAGTGACATTTTTTGCGACAAAATTTTTAGATTGTTGCTGAAAATTAGCAATTAGTGACTTTTTTTTAATAGGGTTTGATAAAAAAGCCATTAATTATCATATGACCTATTAGCCAATAACTCCACCTATTAAGACCTACATGTAAGTTCACCCAAAGTTTTTCACTTTAATTATTTTTAAAATATTTTTTTCTTTTTTTAATAAACTATATTTTGTAACCCTCACATTTTTTAATTACTCTGTATTTGATTAGGAGATTTGAAAAGGGATTTGAAAAAAAAATGTGTGAAATTAAGTAAAATGTATGTATATTTTTATTCATATTTCACTTACTTTTTCTCTTTTGCTTTTCAAATTACTTCCTAAATTCCATAACCAAATACAACGTTGGTCAAGCTTTCAATATGCATTCTGACAAGATTATCTTATTTAACTATTTTTCCGTACAATATTTTTCATTTTTTTCAAATGCGGTCATATTTTTTAGCAATTATATTTTTTCATCGATCATATTTCTTCAACAACTATATTTTCAAAGTTGTATATTCTAATCCCACATTTCCCATTATAAATGAGACCATCTCCCCTCATTTAACTAGATTAGATAAGACCACTCAATAATATTGTTAAATATAATAGTTATATATATTTTTTATCATACACATCATATTATATTTATTATCATATTTAAATTTCTCTTCTCCTATATAAATAAGGCTTATATACACATAATATTAAATATATACATAATATAATATTATCTTTATCTCTCTTTTGTAACATAATATCAGAGTTATAGGTTAAACTCTTGGTGTTCTTTGTTTATTGGCAGGTGACAACCTTATCTTGGCCACCCTCGGATCTCGACTCGATTCACTGCCATATTTTTCTATCAGTATCGTTTCATAATAATCTCCTCCTTCCTCCATTAATTTCTCTATATTCCTCTATTACTAGCCAAAGTTTCGCTACATCACCCAACTCCGGCCATAGCCGCCATCTCATACCGTTGCCCACAAACCCATTGCCATCTCAATATCATACTACATATTTTATTATTTTTTTTTTCATTACCTTCAACTGCAAAATCAATCGAACCACCAATTTTCTATTTTTCTCCTTAGTTTATTACATAAGTTTTGTTCTCCACTTTCATATTTTTACACATTATTTATTTATTTTTTTATTCCAACCATCACATGGGTTTGCTTCCACTTAACCTTCCGAATTTTTTTATTATATATACATAATATTAAATATATACATAATATAATATTTTCCTTCTCGATATTATAACAAATATAAATAGATTAAAAAAAATTTGAGAACAGCTAAACTGGCACCTACTTTGCAGAAAAAAGAAATAATATTTATCACCATATTTGTTTCATCCACTTGCTTCATTTTCTATAGGTATACCTCAATTCGAGGCTGAATTAGTCTTAAGTCAAGAAATCAAAATTTTCACCTCATGTTTTTTACATGCCGAAAATTTTAGGCTCTGTTTGGTTGTGAATTCAAAATATAATTCCACATGTATATTTCAGTATAATGTTTGGTTGTGTGTTTGGAATCAATTTTTCAAACTTCTGCAGAGAGCTCTGTATTACAGTCGCATTTTTTGTTCAAATTTTGGCCAGGGGAAGACCACGCGGACGTCCTTAGGGACTACCGCCCGGACGTCCATGGGGACATCCACCTGGATGTCCTCTGCTGTACAGGAAATTTTTTTTTTTTTTTTTTTTTTTTTTGCAATTGATTTATATAATTGGAAAAAAAAATTTCTGAAATTTTTTTAAATTTTAATGTGCTTTAAAATAATTTTGAGTTGTATATTTAGTTATGAGTTGTAAATTTTTGTATCACATATCAAATATCACATCAACAATTCCCCACTCAAATCAAACATCTTTTCCAAAACTATTTTCAAAACTCTTTACCAAACAAATTTTCTACACTCAAATCATAATTTTACAACACACAAATTCAAAATACAATTCATACTCTCAAATCACATTTACAAAACACAACCAAACGCAACCTTAAGTTCTATCAAAATTTTCAACTTTGAACGTTGCATTACAATACACCTGAGAAATTATATAAAAATGAATTTTTTTAATTAAATATTTAAGTAATATGTCATAGTAGTGCGCCGGTGGTCCCATGCGCTGGGTCCACTATGAAATTGAGACGACTCCATCCGTTGAACATGTTGATTATGTTAAAAATTATTCAAATAAACAATAGCAAAACTTTTTTGAAAAATGCTTTACATCACTAATTTAATACTATTAATATATCACTAATGAAGTGACATTATATGAACCCTATCGTTTATGTGATGGTTTGACTTTATTTCATTTTTTGTTTTTGTTTTTATTTTTTTTTTTCTTATACTGCCAGTTTATTAGAGCTAACATTAATGTTACAATTTTAATAATCTATATCACCCCTGAACTTTTTTAATAATAAAGACTTCAATCTAAGTTTGCATAATATAAGTACACATAGAATGTCTAAAATATTATTTTTCATTGATTTTTATGACTAAAATATCATTTTTTCTGGGGTAAATTACAAATAAACTCCATGAGGTTTGATTAAACTACAAATCGCCTCCTGTGGTTCTGGAAATTACATTCACTTCCTGAGGTTTCTAATTTTCTAACAAATCGCCCATTTTATTAATAAATTATTAAGTTAATTAATAGTTTTTAATAATGTTATAAATATGTTTCAATCAATAATTTAGGTAATTTTATTATTGTTTAGGAGAGTGATTATGAATTTCTTTTTTTTAGTTAATTTTGTTAAATAATTTTTTTTAACAATTTGTAATTTTTCAAACTACAGCAGACAATCTGTACTTTAAGGAAACTTCAGTGGGTGTATTTGTAATTTACCCTTTTTTCCGTGAATTTTACTTAATGAAAATAGGCAAATAGTTTATATTAAAAATAAATTAAAATTTTAAGATTTAAATTGATAAAATTTAAAACTCAAGGTTTAATTTGTTATAAAGGTTAAACTTAGGATTTTTTTTTGGT